GGCCCGAATCGCGATTCGTGTGTGGTATTTTTTTTACGTTCCTTTCTTGAATTATCAAGAGGAAAAAAAAAGGAAGGAAATCGTTTAGGGACTCTTTTTTTTTTTTCCCTTCTTTCCTTTCCTTCCTTCCTTCCTTCCTTCTTCGGCAGTTTCAGTTTTGTTTTGATGAAAAGAATTAAAAAAAAAAGGAAAAAAAGGAAGAAAAAAAAAAAAAAGTAACAAGGAAACAAGAAAAAAAAAGAACGTGAAAACGGATAATCCGCGTTCGAGATACGCAATTATATATGTTCATATGTATAATATTATCTACATTTATTTTACCATTAATTTAATTAATTAATTAATTAATTAATTAATTAATTAGCCTTTATATTTACAATTTCTCGCATATCTGTCTGTCTCTGTTCTTTTTTTCTTTCTCTTTCTCTCTCTCTCTCTCTCTTTTTATCTTTCCGTTTCTTTCTTTCTAATACACATAATTATTATTATTATTATTATTATTAGTATATATATTACGCCATGTTAAAAATATCTGACGTTCGTAATGACGTCAGCGGTAGTACCTTTTTCTTCCGCATAATTTCCTTTCTTGTTTTTTTCTTTTTTCATCTTATTTTAAATTCCTCCTTTATCTTTTTCTTTTTTTTTTTTTTTTCATTTCCCATCGTCAATTCTGCTCGTATCATCATCGTTTGTTAGTTCGTTTGTTAATTTTTTATCTTCCTTCTTCCGTTCTTTTTTTTTTTCTTTTCATTTCTTTTTTTTTTTCTTCTTCTTAATTATATCGGACGAACACAAGTGTCTCTCGCGATTTTAAATACTAATTACGTCGGAATAATCGGGAGTGAGGGGGAGGGGGGCGAGAGTGTAGTAGTATACACAACACATGTTTGTTTGTTTGTTTTTTTTTACACGTATTTAAAAATCCTGTGGGATGACAGACACATAGGAAACACCATCGAAATTTTCTAAAACGCGATCGACGTTAGTTTATTATTTATTTGTTTGTTTGTTTGTTGGTATGTATGTTTGTTATTTTGCGAAATGATTTTTTTTATCCTCGTTCGTGTTCTTTTTGTTTTTTTTTTTTTTCTAACTCTTTTAATTCTTATCATCGTCACGATCTCTTTATCACGCACTCGTTAATTTATTTATCTTCGAGAGATATTTTCATTCCTCACGGACGGCACCTTGAAAGTATATGCGTAACTACTCTTCGTTCGATTTGAAAAAAAATAAAAAAAAAAAAAAAAAAAAAAAAAAAAAAATAAAAAGAGAGAAAAAACTTTGAACCATCATCTTCAACTGCAATCATAACTGTACACAATAATATCCCCTCTTTCCTCTTTCTCGTTATCAATATTATTATTATTAATTATTTATTATTTATTATTATTATTATTATTTTATTATTATTATTATTCATTTGTTATTCATTTATTATTCATTATTATTATTATTTCCAAAACGAATTTGTGTCATCAACAGCAACGAGAAGAGAATAATAATATAATCGTATAAAGAATACAAATTTATATAACGTGCTTCTTTTTTTTTTCTTTCCCTCCTTTTCTTTTCTCATATAAGGTAATAATTAATTAATCAATTAATTAATTAATTAACCCTAATATTTGTTGAAGACTTATTCTTTTTGGGTTTGGGGGTGGGGGATTAGAAAAGGATTATAATAGATAATCCCCAAATCCCATCATTTCTTTCGATCCTTCAAAAATTTATCTATTCACTTTATCGTTCATATTTTATTTTCATTTTCTTTTTCCTCCTCCTCCTCCTCCTCCTTCTCCTCTTGTTCTAAGTTCGAGTGCGTTGAGAAGAGATAGCGAGATAGATCAGATAATATCATCTCGAGTAATAGTAGTAGTAGTAATAGTAGTAGTAGTAGTAGTATTATAATCCATTTTCAATTATTTGCCACCACACACACTTTATATTTTATAAATCTCATACGCGGAAAATAAAAAAAGAAAAAAGTAATGAGATTCACGCGGGCACGCGAATCAAGTCCCAAAGGATTTCCCGAGCACGCGTAGTCCTTTCGAATCACGAGTCGTGTCTGTGGCTTCTGCTACGTCTGTTGCCGCTCTTTCGTCTTTTCCTTTTGGTATCCCGAGTGAATGCAACGTTACCAGGATCGTCGGCTAATTGTGGATACCTGTGTACACTGTGTATGTCGACACCTTCGTAACCATCAACAGTACCACGATTCAAAAGCTCATCCTTTTCTTCTTTGGACCAGTCGCCTCTACCTTGAAAACCGGCCATAACTAATTGCTTTTCTATTTCCCATGCTCTTTCAACGGCACGTTTGTGGGCGTGTTTTAATATCCTGTGCCTTTCTTGTTCAGGATCAGCACCGTATTTGATAACAACGGCTGCGTCTGGATTATGTAATCTCAGTTCTTTCCACGTTCCTGCACCGTGTTCGGTTGTTTCATGTGTCGACACATTGAACATACCACCGAGTCGTTGTAGTTCTTCCATGTCGTCTCTTATCTTCAAAGCATTGTCTTTGACGAAATAAAACACGTCTTGATCGTGAACGCTGAAGTGTAACGGTAAGAAATAAGAATTGTTGAATACTGATGTAACAACATCTTGGACTACGGTGTTAACACCATCCACTACGCTAACCAATGCTCTACCACCTACTCTGGATACTAAGATTCCTTCACCGAATACTGCACGACGGTGTGCTACTCGTGGCAAAAGATTCCTTGTTTTGGGTTCCAATTTTAATAATGGTTTTGGTACGAAACCTAAATCTGAGAATTTCTCGTGTACCCTATTGACGATGCATTGCAATCCTGACATTACACCGAAGTCTGGTGTTAATTGTGGCGAAGTTATTGTTGCGCTTGGTTGGTAAACCATTTGTTTAGTGTACTCGGAACCTAACATCGATGATATATCGTAACCATATAGTTTAAGCCAACTGGCCAAGTCTGTCATGTATTCGACGTTCTGTTTGAAATTGATGGGATCGTTATTACGGAAACGATAGATGAAGATATCCGTTGGGGTTGTCAACTCGTTAGCCATTTGTTCCCATGCCGGTGTCATCCATTGTCCTACGGTTGGGTCGTACAATCTCTTGTTCAGATAAATCAATTTCGTATTGGGATCGAACAATCCACCATGGAAATCGATCGGCAAGTAAAAATCTGGATTGGTATCCTTAATGATCTTTCCGAACGGTGTACGACGCATTTCCTTGATGAGATTTCCATTTGTATCGAACAATGCCAAAGGTGAACCATTTTGATCAGTTGCTACGTAAAACCTTTGCTCGGATGTTTCAACAGTCATCAAGAAATCTCTTTGATCGTAGAGGAATCGGAAGGTCTTTGATGATTTCGGGAAATGTACGTGCGTTATCAAATCCGGTGTTTTTGGATTAGCATAAAAGAATTGAGTTATGTTTTCCCTGTCGTCGTTCCAAGATACAAGCCTACCACGATCATCGTAGAAGTACCAGATCTGGAATTTCTTATGTTCCGATGCGTGAATCAATTGACCCCTCGAGTTGTATCTATTGAAATGATACCAAATGTTAGAATGCTATTTGATCTTATTAGAATAAACGATGATTTTATATTATTAGAAACTTACCTGTATTTGTGTTCTCCTCGAATAACAACGAATCCTCGACCATCGTATGAATTGAATTCCACGTCGCCGTATTGAACAACTCGATCACCGCTATCATAACCTAAGACAATTTTTTCACTGTGTTCGGTAACACCAACGATATTACCGTTCTCATCGTACGCATATTGCCAGTTGTTATCCGTGTCTGCTACTTCGAGTACGTGACTATCAGCGTTGTACGTGATCTTATCCATTCTGGACCACTCCTTCTTTTCTAACGATTCCTTACCGATCATCAATTTTCTCATTTTAATACGATTTCTATTATCATATTCCAATTCCATTCTGAATACGTCCAAAGATCTGATATTCATAAGAACTGTTTTTATTCGGCCGTGATCGTCGTAATCGGTGACGGTGAAGAATTGTTTACTACTATCTTGCATGACCGATCTATTAAATATATTCCTATAAATTCTTAGATCACCAACTCCTTCCAATACGCCAAGATTTTGATTGTATTTCAATCGCAATTGAGGAAGTTGTTTCCCATTGATGTCAACCTCGATACCAGATATACGAGCATTTCCATCGTATTGATATCGATAATGCGCATTGTCCATGCCACTTTTACTTCCAAATTTGATCTTTTCATCTTTGACTATTCCCGCGTGATACTTGTACTCAATACGCATCTCGAAATTAGGCTCATTGATATCAATGCTACGAACTAGACTTGTTGTTTCTTGATATGTGTAATGTATCGATGATAAACCTGAAAATTAAAAGAAATTTCATTTATTTCGGTTCATTATTACGATTCCTGATTGGGACACGAATTTGGGTATTTCGTTTTTCGAATAATTACTCTAATTTTTGAGCTATCCAGTACCCTTGGGTCAATTTTGTACTCGATTTTGTACACTTATAATATTTTATTTAAAATATTATTTTTATACAAATCTTTAGCTTTCCAATAAACATTTGGTAAATCTTTTAATAACTATTTCGCAAACATGAATTTTTTCTTGGGGGATAATATTAAATAACAATTCGTTTCCAATTTAAATTTAGATTTTTCGAAATTGTATACGGGTGTCTCTTAGTAAAAACTTACCTGCTAAAGTGGTTTCCAATTTTCCTGTGTGATCGTAAACGTATGCCACTTTACCACTCTGATGCGGGTAAACCTTGGCAAGTATTTGTCCATCGTCGTTGTATAAAATTTCGTAGGGGTGTCGATTCATGGGTGAATAATATTGATACTTGTAGAATCCTAGAGATGTCTGAAGTGAGAATGCATGAATGTGTCCTCGTGGTGTTGTAAGAGATTGAAGTGCACCAGCTTCGTCGTATTGTAACAAATAATCACTTCCACGTGGTGTTGTAACTTTTAATGGTAAGCTACTGAACATATCTTTGAACGCATAAACCATAGAAGTACCATCGCTATATTTAATTTCGTATAATCTGCCAGCTCTGTCAAAACCATAAGTTTCGCTAATGTCACCCCAAGTCCAACTGGTTAGCCTACTGAATCGATCATATTCTAATTCAACAACAGCAAATACGCCATCCGTAGGACCCCACTTTAATGGCCGTGAAGTTCTATCGTAGGTTATGTTCAATAATTCGACTCGATCATCCATGAAAACGGCAACGGTATTGGTCTCCCTTTCGTATTCCAATGATAATAAGATTTCACCGTTAACTCGAAGTTTACGACCGACTTGTGCCACAGCTCTGTTACGGCTCCTGCTACCAGGTATTTTTCTCAAGAAATAACGCCATTCGAATCTGTTAGCCAAATCACCGGCAATTTCTGTTCTTTGTTTAGCCAATACGGGATAACTTTCGCCAAGAAGTGGTTCGATTTCGGCTAAAATCGAATAAGGCATCGTATCCGTGCTAACGGTATGAGCCCAAGGTGTAACCATTCTGACGGAACCATCAGGAAGAACTGTTGTTCTTTGTTCAGCTTCGCCAACCTTCGTAACAACTGAAGAACCTTTGATCAACATCGAGACAGGTTTTCTATTGTTTTGTCCTATCTTAACGATAGCTCCTTTAAGACTAAGATCAAAGGTTAGACTGATCATTTTACCGGTAGGTGTAACCACGCTTGTCAATCTACCAAATTCATCATAATCATATACATAACCGCGGCCAGTACTATCAAGCTTGTTGGCTAGAAGTCCAGCGGGACCGTGATAATTGAACGTTACGTTGTAATTATCCGGTGTACTGAATTCGTGTAACATCCACATCCTAGTCATTCTTAATCTACATTTCTGTCCTTTGGTATTCTCAATGGAAGTTACTTGATTACTATAGTCGCGTAAAAGGAAGATTTTATTTCCAGCTGCATCCGTGACGGTACTTAATTTGCCATTGCTGCTGTTAACGTTGTAAGTGAATAGATATACCGTTTCACCGGTTAAAATATTTTTCGTAGCAATGTGTTGACCGAATCTATTGAAAACGTAAATCTCTTGAGTATCTGGTGAATAAATTTCATATTCCCTGGCGTCGCTGGCATCCGGTATGCTTGCCGTGACCGAACGTATTCTATAATTAGCCTGATCACCGATATGTACGACACCGTCGGGTGAAACAGCGATAGACGATATCGTGTTGAATTTAGAAGTGGATGCTAGATAATGATCGGTTTCGAAACAGTCACAGCCACGTTCAAGACAATTGCATTTCGATTCTGCACCGGCGTAAGGTGAAATCTTGCCATCCGTGCCGATCACTCTGACACGATTTATACGTTGTGAATCACTCTCAGCGATGTAAAGGTTTCCAGATGGGCTAAAGGCTATACTCTGAGGCATCACCAAAGTGGCATGAGTGGCTAGTTCCGTGTCAAAGGATGACAAAGGTGATGCGCAATGCAACGGACGACCAGCTACAACTTTGACACGACCATCCGGAGCCAATTGAAGTACCATGTGATCGTCGACCATGTGTAAAGAATTGTCGAGTGGATTGATCGCTAATTCAGTTGGCCAACGTAAATGAACCTCCTCGACGTTTAAAGTACCCTCGCAAGGAATCGGTTTCCATTGTGATTTGTGCATGTGATTACCAATCACCGTACTTATTATTCCGTCTCTATCGACCATTCGTATATTTGTACCATCGGCAAAGTAAAGAACGTTGTCTATTGATACCGCCACACCTTTTGGATATGCCAATTTAGCGTCTTTAGCTAATGCACTATCTCCGCAATGTGCTTCGTCACCTGGAAGACAACGTTCTCCGGATCCAACAACGGTATCCCAATTGTGATCTGGATCAGAGTAATCGTTAGTATCGCGTACACGAAGTATCTGATGAGATTCTGGATCGGAAACGTATAGGATACCATCCAGGGGACTTATAGCGATGTGATATCGATAAGAGACTCTTGTTGCACTGTAAACAAAAAAAAAGAAACATAGATTTATTATTAACAAATATTCATATTTAATAATACATTTATTTGATTTGATAGTATGAGTTATATAAGTTTAATACTTACTTTAATCTAAGAACAGTCTTGACAGTTCCATCTACCAAGATTTTCCTAACCAAATTAAAGTCACCGACGTAAATGGAACCGTCCGGTGCAGTTGCAAGTGCGACCGGTGCGAGTAAACGTTGTTTCCAAGCTTCCCCGTCACAATCGTAACAATCCAAAGGTCTCTGATGACCATCTCCCATGGTAGTAAGAATGACCCTAGGTTTGTGCTTCAAATATATGTTGGAACCATCACCCTTTTGTAAAATACCCTCATGGAAATTATATCTATGATGAATATCTAGATTCCAACCGCCAACGTCGGATATTGCCATGTCGTGGCCGCTAAGTTTAGTGGTTTGTACATCCCAAATGATGTCTTTGCAATCGCTATACTCGTAACCAACCTTAACCATGGCAGTGGTAACGCCATAAACGCGTTGACGATAAACGTTCAATCGATTCCATGGATACGTATACTTGATCACCGGATCAGCCTCGAATGTCCTCTCGTAAAGGATACCTTCGATCGAGATTCTCAGATGTACTAGACTTAGCGTAGGTGGTATAGTTTCCGGTGTCAATTGGACTTGTATCGTCGATAAATAACCTCCCACTCTCGAGCTGTGATATACAAGATTTAAACCGGTTCCGGGTATTTGCAAACTTTCCTGTATAGCTTGGTATTCAGCTAAGATGGCGCTTTTATCAGGACAAGCACCCTGGAGACCTTGTTTCCACGTAGCCAACACGAGTGGTTTCATCAAATCGTAATCGTGAGCTGCGCATGCGTGGGGCACGTGAACCGGTGGTTTTTCTTCAGCCGTACTCATTATTATTTTGTCGATTATAACCACCTATAATAATGAAATATAATAAAGGAATATTAATTTACATTGGATATTATTTTTAAAACATCAATGATCTAACTTATATCTTTTTGTTTTATTTTTTTCATTTGCTTACCTCATTCCATGGGACAAAGACGATATGACTTTGCGCCTTGAAAGGTGACCTGCCAAACTGCAAGGTCACTGCACCACCCCCGTTCACCAGTAAATCGAACCAACCGTCGTCTCTCGTCAGGGTAAACCCTTCCAAGGGTGTACTCGTGCTAACGCGTACTCCCATTAGTCCCGTACCAAGGTGCGTGACTACTCGACCACGTATTACTGCAGACCGACTGTTAGAGAATAATAATGTTAACGATTTTAACTATTTTCTATTATTCTAGTTATATCATAACAAAACAAAAAAATAATAATATAATACGTCTAAACTAATGGTGATTACTCTTTCAATGTGCTTTCCTTCTTACACTACCATTAATAAAAAAGCATTACTCTCTCTAAGTACTAATTCTAAATTTCAAATTCTACTACAGAGTGTTTACTTTGTCATCTTCTCTTACTTCGTTCTTTTTTTTTTTTTTTTAAATACGTTTTTTTTCTTTTTTTGGTTTTTCTTTTCAAGTGAATACGTGAATGAGATGATACAGAGGAATGTTCGAAGGATGTTGTCGTTGTTTTAAAATTTAAATGAAATAATTAATTTTTTGAATTTATTAGGTGTACCTTTTTTTTATATATATATTTCTTTTTTTTTTTTAAACAAATACGCGAATCTTGCCATTTTGTTAGTAAATTTAATTGTTGGTACATGAACGTTATAAAATAGTTGGAGATTTTTATTTACGTTCAAATCCGAGTCATATAAAATAATTGTTTATAATATCAAAGAAACATAATTACTTTCTCTTTCTAAACATTTTAATATAATAATTAATAATAATAATATAATTTAAAAGAACGACAAGATCCTTGACGCGAGATCGCTAAAATTATACACCGTGCACATCGCGCAATGCATTGTTTAAAAACTCGACTCGATTCTTACGAATTTCCATACATAATAATAATAATAATAATAATAATAATAATAATAATAATATTAGATACTTTAAATGTTCTTCTTGCTTGTCAGTGCTAAAGAGGAATATAATTGAAAAAAGAGGTATAAAATTCTAAAGGCAGCTTAGAAAAAGTGAGAATGAGATAGAGAAAGAAGGGTTAGACAACAAATCATATTAATAATAACAATAATAATAATAAGAAGAAGAAGAAGAAGAAAAAAAAAATAGAAAATATGTAAATATATAAATACAAAGAGTAAGAGAATAAATAACTCTGGCAAGTATTTCGATTGAAAATTCAGCGATTGCGTGCACACACAACGGGGGGGGGGGTGGTTTCTCGAAAGAAAATGTCATCTCCCGTTCGTGTCACGAAATATTGCGTATATTTTTTCAAACGAGGTTTCACTTGACGCCGGCCATCTTTGTTTTCTAATCAAAGTGCCTCTTTTGCACTGAATAAAGAAAGATAGAAAATTAAAAAAAAAAAAAAGAAAAAATAGAAAAAGATAGAAATAGAAGAAAGAGAGAGATAGAGATAGATAGAAAGAGAAAGAGAGAAACAGATACTTCGAAATCTGCATACCACGTTACATATTTTTCGATTATATTTATCAGATATATATATATATATATATATTTACAAAAACGCACATACATATATATTTCATTCATACAATTCGCATTCATACATTTAGCATACACACCAGCAGAAAGACGTATACATTAATCTCACACATACGTACAAAACGTACATATATTTATTTATACGAGTAACATAAAGTCGGAAGCTCAACGTAAAAGGCACGAAACACAACGTAGGAATATTAAGGTAACTGAACCATGCAACGAGATAGAGTGTAGATATATATATTTAACAATAGGATACAAAGGGGGTTTTTTGAACGGGTTGGTATTATTTTTTTCTTAACATGTGAACTTCGAAAGATCGCACTCGTTTTCTTCCCTTTCTTTTTTTTTTTTTTTTTTTTTTTTTTTTTTTTTTTTTTTTTTTTTTTTCTTATTAAACAATTTCTCATGATGGATGGATGCATTGTCGAATTAATTTCATTTAAATATATTTTTCCATCTCTCTTTCTAAAAAATATATATATATGTATATTTATATTAAACGTTCGATAAAATAATTTTGTAAATTTGTTCGTTTTTAATGAGAAATTTTGTTGACCGAGTGCAATCTTTCTTTAGATTTGGATGCAGGATGTATATACATATGTATTACATACGAGAGATACGAAATGCACAAAAATATTCGTCAAACAGCAGCAGCAACTATTACCGCTTATAAAACGCTACGTAATATTTTGTATTTATTTAATATTTTTTTGTTTGTTTGTTTTATCTCGCAAAAGTTTTTCGTTTTTTGTTCGTTGAATTTCTTTTTCTTTTGTATTTCTTTTTGACAAATCTTTTTTGTAATTTTGTAAAAATCATGTTTGTTTGTTTTGTTTGTTTTTTTTTTTGAATTTTTTTTCGATCGAATAATCCTTTCATTTTAATCTTTCCGTTTTAATTTTTGTTGTTAACGTTTTTTTTTTTTATTGTAATTTTTTTTTTTTTTTGTTCTTCGACGTCTTGCAACTTTTTCTTACCTTGTGTTGAAGTGATTCCAGAACATACTGACCGAGCAGCACGGATAAAACAGAGCCCAGTTAAAATGATGTGATATTTTAAGGTAGGAAATGAAGTAGATTGAAAAAGAGAGAGAGAGAGAGAGAGAGAGAGAATATGATTAAAAAGGAGAAGGAGTGATAGATAGAAAAATTCTTTGTTGATTTGGCTACAATAAATTCGTAAAAATTTTTGTCTAATTTTTATTAACAATTAGAGAAAAATATCGTACGAATTTATTGGCCAATCTGATAGATAAAAATAGTAAGAGAGAGAGAGAGAGAGAGAGAGAGAGAGAAAGAAAGATAAGGCTAGAAGTAAAAATTTATTTAGAATTTTACGTAGAAGGATTGTTTGGATGGAAACTTTAGTTTAGAATTTGGAAAAAATTTATTCTTTTTGTTCCGATCGTTTACGATGAATTTTCGTTTGCAGAGAGATTAAGAATAAAAAAAAAAAAGAAACAAGATAAAAAAGTAATAAATGGACGATGATATTAAAAGTCTTTTTAGTTTTTTTTTGATACGATTTGATTTCGTTTCGTTTTGTTCCGTTTGTTCGGTACCTTCATTATTATGTAATAATAATTTTCTATCGTAGAAAACACAAAAATTCGATGTGAGAGATATTTCTTTAATATATATTTTTTTTTATTTTCTATTGTATATATTTTATTTTATTATATTATATTTTATAATTTTTTTTTTTTGCTGATTTTATGAACACATATTCACATTCACACGAATTTTGCTCGGACGGACATGAGACGACGATAAAAAGGACGAACTTTCGACAATATATCGATATGATTCGAGAGATTTTGTGAGGAACAATTTTTTAAATTAGGATTAAGAATTTTGAAAGGAGGGTGTTAAAAAGAATTGAAAGTTTGATTGAGTTGTCAAAGATTTTGGAATTTAACGAGCG